TTATCATCTGGAAGGGGACAGAGGTTTTTGTTTTAAAGGAAGTGTTCCTCTGGACCTGAGGAAAAATCCTCCTCTCACGCTGTCAGGAGATACATGAGATTTCGCTGTGTACTTTACAGGACTAATAATGACCCCCACAGCACTTCCCCACGCTGGGGAACCGTGGAGGTCCAGTGTTCGCCTTTGTATTAAAAAACACTTTGCAAATGTTAGATTTGGGTGGTTTGGGGGTTATTTTGATTGGGGAATTTTTATACGTTTGCTCCATTCAGGGCCAGAGAGGGTAAAAAGATTCTGAAAAATCGGGTGAGAAATACATGCGCAAACACACACACACACACTTTAAAAAAAAAAAATGTTGTTTGGAGGAGGCTCCAAGTAATTCCGGTCATTTCGTAGTTGCGTGAGATTCTGGGTTTTTTTCTTCTTCATGTAAAGCAGAGAGTATAGAGACACTCTTAACTCGTAAACCCCCAGAGATTTACCCCTCCCTGCCCCAGGATGCGTTCGCAGGCAGAGGGGAGATTTTGCTGGAAGGGTGATGGGGGCAGCCCTTCCTCCGCTGGGATAGCGGGATGTGCGGAAAGCAGCGGAGCCCAGCCCTGAGGGGAGAGCTCCGGGGAGGACCGGCCCCTTGCACCGGCTGGGCTCTCCTGCAAGGGTTAAATTCCGAAGGCGAAGACAAGGCGCATTTTTGTTTTTCCCTTAACTCCTAAAAGCCGGTAGCGGAACCGACTCTGGAGCTACGCGAAGTTGTGACACAAAATGTAACACAAAGTCCTGGTACAGCTGTGCACAGACACAGATACGCTTCCAGCTGCAGGGGGAAAATATGTGTGGATGCCTGTTTACGAGACAGACAGAGAAAACGAAGGAATTCGGTGGATATATTGGTCCTGGGGATTATTTAAGACATTTGACTAGTTCCATCATAGGGACACCAGATGTTATTTATGAGGTCTCGTATAAATGTGGGCCATACAGTGCAGGTAGGGAGGGAAAAGGCAGGAAAAAAAAAAAAAGCCAAAGGAAAGAAAGGAGTTCACCCCAAAGGGATGAAAGAAAAAAAACTGATGTTTATAACTATATAAATCACGTTGAAGTTTTGTAATGGAAACTAAAACTACCTGGAGTTTAAAGGAAGAGAACGGGACAAGGCAGGAGAGGCGGAGGGAGGGAAGATCCCTGCTGGTCATGGCTGGGAAAGCAGATGAGAACCCAGCGCCCTGGGGAGGGGAGGTGGTGCTGAGCTGGAGTACGGCCGGGCTTGCTGGGGTTACTCTGGCTATTCCTGGGTTTATCCTTAGCTGGGGAAGATGCCAGGAGGAAGATCAGGGCATAGATGGATAGGTAGGAAGAGAGAGAAAGAGAGGGAGAAAGAGAGAAAGAAAGAGAGAAAGAGAGAAAAAGAGACATCAATCTGATCTTGTCTTGTTGAAGATCTCTGGCAAAATATAGTGAGATCAGCAGGAGTATTCCTGATTTCCTGACACCACGTTTCCAGAGCCCAGTGTTCCAGTGTCCGAGCTGGCTGCACGGCCCGGGAGGAGGCAGGACACACCACTGCCGCCCGAAGCAGCCAAATGCACTTTGTTATAAACAGACACAGAGATGTGCTTTGAATTTGCAACCTTGACACAGTCACCGGGAGCCTGGGAAATTCGGGGTGAGCCCTTCCTCGTTCCGTCGGGTCCCGTTTTAAAGGGAACCCTCGGTTTTCACAAGCGGGGGCTTCTGCTGAGCTATGGGAGAGCTTTTCTCAGCGCATTTGTTTTTGTTTTGGTTTGAGGTTTTTGTTTTGGATTTTTTTTTTGTTTTGGGGTTTTTTGTGTTGTTTTTTTTGGGTTTTTTAACCCCTTTTTACATAACTGTTGCACAGTTCCCGAACAACAGAGAAACTTCCCAATCCCCCCGCTCTCCCTCCAAACAACCTCCCCCAGACTCCGCTGGGAACGGCGAGGGCTCTTTTGGAAGGTTTCATGCAAAACATGTGCCCTACTAAAAATAATACCATCGGTGCGATTGAAACAAAAGCAAACAAAACAAACTAAAAAAGCGTGGCATGCAGCCCGGCTTTAGGGAATCGGCTCCAGTGCCGCCGGCATTCCCAGCCCACCGGCATCCTTACCCCCCCCACCTGCCCGCAGCTGGCTCGGAGGGACTGAGGAGGGGAGGTTTGGGGGTCCCCGCTCCCCGCCCTGCAAAGTCCAGGTAAAAATTAGGAAAGGGAAAGCGGGGGGATTCCCTTTGCTCTTTCTCCCCCACCCGGTTTCCCCCGTGCTCGGACCCCGGGCGCTGCTGTCCCCGTCCCTCCATCCACCCGCCCGCCCGCCTCCTCCATCCCGGGCCCCACAAACTTGCTCCGGGCGTTTTTGCCATCACACCACGGAGAGAAAGTAGGTCACGGCTGGGTCCAAGCCTGGCTGAAGCCGAGGCAGCCGAGCCTCGAAAGCTTTCCCATAGAACACACTTTGGGGTCGTCGTTTGCAATGTTGTTTGGTTTTGTTTTGTTTTTTTTTTATTTTTATTATGATGAAGATGATGATTTAATTTGGACACCATGGGCGATCAGCTGAGCCGGCTCCCGTAGTCCAAGCTGGAAGGAGAGGGAGAAGGGAGGTAGTTTGGGAGATGGAGTTGGGGATGGGTTTAATTTTTGCTATTCCCCCATCCCCTCCGAGAGAAATATTAAATATTAAGTTGCAAAAACCTATCCACCGCCTGTCAGGGCTCCTGCACCTCTCTGTCTGCCCTCTCCAACCACCGGCCGCTCTCTGAAAACCAACAGATAAACCCCAACCCAGACGAGCCTTCAGACCCGGTATTTAACTGAAATAGTTCACCGCAGTAAAAGCGAGCCTTTAAAAACCGGTTTTCCACCCTCAGGGCTCCGTTCGAGCACACGTGTGTGTTTGTTTTCAGGGTGACTGTGCGGAGGGTTAAACTGACAGTCCTTTCCAGGAAAAAAAAAAAAAGTGTTTTCTATAAGATCAGTCAAAAAACAATTAATTAAAAAAACCTGAGGCCCTAATCTGCTCCCTCTCCTCCTTTTCCCAGCCGCAGGGTAAACCCAGAGTCACTCCGGAGTGGCTCCGGGTTCGCCCTGGGGATCCGGATCTCCCCTCGGCTCTGCGGCGATTACAAACCTAAATAAATCCGATTTGGGAACGGAGGGGAAGGGAAGGGGGAAGGGGGAGAAAGAAGTTTTCGTTTGAATATTTCCTTTTGCTAATTGCTGGCGCTGCAAATGTACACCCAAAGGTAGAAAATAAACCCACGCTGTGAATACGAACATCACTCCCGATCTCTCTCTATATAAATATACACCAATTTACAGACATCCAGGTATGCATAAGCGAAATGTACAGTTACAATGGCACAGCGGTGGGAGGGGGAAAAAAAAAGTTTGCTGAGTTGCAGGCTTACATAAAATTTTCCTTTAATGGTTCATACTTTAGAAAGAAAAATATTTACTCCGAATTCATCTGGTTAAAGCAAAATGAAACAAAAGCTCACGTTAACATGACATGAGGTTTATTTTAAGTCTGCTTAGAATGAAGAGGTAAGAGTGGGAAAAATATGGACACTTTTGAGTCAGACAGAAATAAAATACCAACATTTCTGAGAAGCAATATTTATTGTCTTTTTTTTTTTAATGTAGAGACATGTCCTGAATTTCCCCAAAGCCTAGACTGGGAAAATAAAGACTTCTTGGCGTTATAAGTAAATCCGTCTGCAGAATCAAAGCAGCACCAACATTCAAAAAAAGTGAAGAGGAAAATACAACAAAACACAACAATCTCTTTTTTTTTTATTCTTATTCTTATTATTTATGTAAATCAGGTCATCACTGGACAAGAAACCAATTTCTACCCATTACCATAACAGCTTGTCTATAAAGAACAGAAAAGATTCAGATAGGATACTATCTAGTCAAGCGGGATATTTTTTTTTGTTGGTTTTATTTTTTCTTTCTTTTTTGTTTGGTTTTTTTTTTATACTTTTCGTTTTTAAATTCCCCCACCCATTCACAGAGGTATAGAGTCACAGATAAATAACCCAAAAACTACTTGCTCGCCATATTTACACATTCCCGTTAAATTAAGCATAAATAAATATATACAAACTCAATACTGAATGCCTCTCCGCACTTCTTCTCAGGAAGAGTCGATAAACTGATATTTTTCACTGCACGGTCAGATTTTTCAAGAAGAGGAGGTGAAAGGGATCGTTTGGGGCATAAAAGGAGAATTTTTTTTTCTTTTGTCTTTCCAGTTTCTCATTTGCTTTTTCATAGCTTTGCATTTGTTTGGGTCTTTTTTTTTTTTTCCTTTATTTCTTGCTGGCACACAGTGTTTCGTCTCTCTCAAAATGTTCAGGCATTTGCCAGTGTGTTTGGGGATGTTTTCTTTTACTTTTTTTCCCTTTGTATAAGAAAATATACTATTTGTAAAAAGCCTACGGTCTCTCTCACACAGGCAAGCCGGAGGGGAGGGGGAGGTTGTCTGGGTCGATCTGGTAAATGCCTACGGCAGCTGAAACAAGCACCAAATTCTCCGAGAAATATATTAAAACAGAGCCGGACAGGTCTGTGTGATAAACCGGTCAGAAAGAGAGGAGCAGGAGAAGGGAATAAGCCCTTTGGGCACAGCTAAAGGTCTTAAAACCATCCTTCCCTCGCTCCCTCCCAGCCCCAAATGCAAATTTGGGGATTTGGGGAGAGATTGGTCTGGGATGCAAAGGGACTTTAAACAGCTTCTCACAGAGAATTTCTATTAGGTGGGACAAGACACAACCCGATTTTAAAGAAACGATCGGGTTGTAAAAGGATTCCCATGAAATTGGCTTCTTGTTTCCATCACATCTTGTGTGAATAACAACCAGGAAAAAAAAAATCAGGGAGCATATGAAAGTAAAGGTCTTTCCAATGGCAAATAAAGAATTGCTATTAAAAAAAAAAAAAAAAAAAAAAAAAAAAAAAAAAAAAAAAAAAAAAGGGAAACTAAGAATGAAATAAAATTTACAGCAACCCACCTGTTTGGTTTGAAAACAAACTTTTCATGGTCTCTCCTCAAACTTTTCCCTTGAGTTACAAAGCAAAGCTGCCTTGTTAATCCTCCTGTTTATTGATTCATGATTCCGAGGAAACCAAATCTTTTAATAACTCAATTATCAGATAAACGTCTGAGGTTCCCTGCCAACAGAAGTAGTCGGGCTGGGAAAGTGGAGGGGAGCAGGAAAATACCTTCCAGAGGGAGGCTGAGTTTAGTTTGGGGGGATCTCTGTACTGAGCACAGATAGGAGCCACCAAGCAAGGGATAATTCCCTGTGGGACCAGCACTGGGTTGGGGGGAAGGACAGAGAGATGTGCTCCTCTCCTCTTTCCTGCCTGATTGCATTTTAAGTCATAAACCTCGTGAATTTTGTCTCCACATTTTGGGGAGCAAATGAGGGGAGAACATCCCACTGCAATCAGTGGGAATTTGGCCTTATTTTGCCTGAGCACTGCACAGTCTGGCATCTGTAGTTTGTCTCCTCCAGGCAGAAGGCACAAGGGACAGACTGAAACTCTTCCCTCAACCTGCTCAAGGTTTAGGTCATGGTCCAGGTGACCAAACCTGTGTCTAGGGAAGATTTCAGCAGCAGCAGCAGGATCAGGCCCTCACACCTTTCCCCAAGAAGTTCCAAGGGTTCCCTCTCCCCATTAACCCACAGTGGTGGTGGGACACTGTCCTCTGCAGTTAAAAGGAGAATCCCCTACATTTCCCCAAAGAAAAGGAAAGACCATTCCCAACATGGCCTCAAAGCCTCCAGCTGGAAGCTCTGGGGCAGCAGGGACAGGTTCCCATGTCCCTGCACATACAGCTGGGGATGTGGAAGACTGAGAGCTAATTTGGGGTCTCCCCACACCCAAAGGCCCCACTGGGCTGGGTGATGCTGAAGGGCTGAACCCACAGGTTCCTGACAAATCCTATTTGCAGGGGGAAGGCAAGGCAACATCCAACACTTGGTGCTCTGCTCCAATAAACAGGATATTCCCATCAGGAAGAGAAGGGAACTGTGCTTCCATGTGGGAACATTTGTTCCTCCCCAGATTCCCTCTTTCCCTTTCCCTTGCATCACTGCTGGGCCATGCCCTACGCTGGAGCCTGGATTGCTCCTGATGAACTTTGGGGTGGTTGGCAAAGGGTAAGATTTAGAGGCCTGGAGGTTGCCTGGATGTTGATTCTCAACCTGAAGGTCCCCAGCCTGCTGGTGGGGGACCCATGGTTTGACCACCACACCTCCTCTGGTGACATCCATAGGGATATGACAATCCCTGCGACAACCAAACCCACTGGCAGGGACTTGCCAGGGTCTATGACTGCCTCCAACTCATCCCAATCCATGGAGAAAGCTGCCTGCCTCAGTTCCCCCATAGGAGAGCCCCCAGTGCCCCAGAAGAACCAAAGGTACATGAGCGAGGAGCAGCTCGGGAAGGGCTGGATGATCCCTGGATTTCTATTGCCATGCGTGCCCAAATCACAAGCAGAGAACTGCTTGAAGATTTGTCTGCGTGAAGATTTGAAAAGCAGAGCAGGCCCTCAGCTGTAACCATGTCTCAGAGAGCCAAGGGCACTAAAGGACACAAGAGGATTGTTTGCTCTTTTGTTTTGAGGATATTTCATCAAGGGATGTTGAGAGCTCTGCAGAATGGTTTCTCCCTCACTATCACCTTTGGAAGGTGTCAAAATGAAAGGAAGGCTGAGGTTTATCTCTCTCTCTCTCTCTCTCTTGTTTTGAGTTCAGGTGTGCCTGCTTGGGATGGTGGGACTGAGTCCTGCAGCTTTCACAGGGATCCTACGGGGAGGCCTGACCCCACTGGAATTTTGCCAGAAGCTCCAGGAGATTTACCCTCACCCAGTTCTGACATCAGTAAAAAGCTGTGTTAGTGCACGAGCCCTACCCCACTGAGAAACACATGCAATTACCCGACACGGCAGAATCCAAACTGAAATTCATGTCCTTACACTTCAGCGTTATTTTTACCACAGAACACAGAGAAATGTATGTGGAAAAATGAAAAAAAAAAAGAGAGAGGAAAGAAATAAGACTTCCCCTTCACCCCCACCACCCAAATCATATGCATAAGACATCCTGTCAGACACCAAACCACCAAGACAAACATTGGAGTTAAGAAGTTTTTGCCCCCCTCACCACACCGACTTGTTCCAAAGCAAGAGTCACAAGACATTAAAAAAAAAAAAAAAAGCTTTCTAAGAGAAACAGATTTCCTCAGACTGAGCTCAGAAATCAGGATATTCCCTGGCAAACCCTCCCCACTCCCATCACGAGGAGCCAGCTCACGTGGCAACTCTTTCCTCCCTGGGTACAAAACCCTAGTGCCAAGCAAGTGCCGTAACATTCAACACAGCTCTTATTCTCTTTGCAACAGTACACCTCAATTTCAACTCATATTTTTATCTTTCAAATTATTCCCTTTGAGCTTCTTTAAAGAAGTGCACCTACAGAATTCAGTAACAACTGGCTTTGATTTGAAAAAGCAAAAAAAGCAAAAAATAAAAAGTATCAGAATATCAGAATTGTGGATTTTTTTTCTCTGTACCTGATATATTGTGTAGGGATCTCTAGTCCTCTTTGAAGAAGCTCATAAGCCAAGCGGGCAAAGCTTTAGGAAACAGAAGAAAATAAAATAGTGCATACTCCTGAGAAAGAATTACATACTCATATCACTCATTTTTTGTTGTTGTTAACAGTTCTTTAAAAACGGGGGAAGAGCTCTCTCACACACACTAGTCAAGGAAATTAAGGACTGAAACATTGGCATAGTTAGGAATATAAAACTCCCTAGAGAAAAAGAGGAGATCTCAGAAAATTAAGAAATCAGATAGCTCTGACATTGTACCAGGCCTTACTTCCAAAATTTTGCAACCCATTATAGACAAGGCATTTCACCATCAAAGACAAAATTACTAAATTACAAAGGTATGTTTGCATGCATTGATATGCGTGGCTAGGCACACATATTTTCTATATGTATATATATATGTATATATGCACATATATACATATATATCCACAAACATAGAGGGGATACCCGCGCCCCCCTAGGGAGTGGGGTGTGCACATACACAGATGCACACACAGAGGCACACACGCACCCAGACACACCTGTAAACGCTGCCAATCTAAACAGAGAGTCTGTCTAGACCAGGAAAAAAAACACAAAACAGTCCTTAAAAAACAGAGCTGGCAGATTCAACTGAGCCACGGCGACCCCGAGCGTCCCTTCTGGTGGCACCTAAAGTTAAGTTCTCGCTGCTGTGAACGCAGCTGGTGTTGATGGCTTGGTGAGGGGTCTGGGAGCTCCCCTCCTTTCCTAGTCTAGACAGAACCAGGGTGGTGAGATGAGGTGGGAAGAGCTGAGGGGAATGAGGCCATGGGGCTGCTCAGAAAGGAACACTCTGGAAGGTTGTTTTAGTCTAGGTGGAGACAGGATGTTGTTCGAAACAAAAAGCATAAAAGAAAAAAAAAAGAAAAATAACAGCAAGACAGACCATGCAGCTCAAGAAATCAAAGCACTGACACCAAAAATGTTTCTCCGATTTCTTCCAATAAGTTATTCATTTCTTTCTTTTATTATTATTATTATTAATTATTATATTCCCCTCCCCCCCAATCATTATTTAAAAAATGTGAAAGAACAGAAGTGGGGAAAAAAATCCTGTTGGTTGTCTTCACATGTTCCTGGCAAGAGACTCTGAACCACTGGTCTTGCGCCATTGTGCTCCTCTGATCTTAAATTATTGTCTTTCTTTTATTATTATTAGTTTTATTTTATTATTATTATTATTTTGTCCTACCTAATAGAATTCTTCCAAAGCCCAATCCAGTATTTTTAAAGCTAAAATTAAGATGGTTTTGTTTTAAAAGATTATCTCTCTCTCTTCTCCTTTTATTTATTTAACTTTTTTTTTCTTTTCCTTTCTTTCATTCTAAATTTTTCCTCTCTCTCTCTCTCTCTCTTTCTCTCTCTCTCTCTCATTTTCTGTGTTTCTCTTCCTTGTCTCCAGTTTTACTACCTGGTCCTTCGCCAGATGTGTGCCTGTTAGCAGTGTTGTTGTTCAAGAACATCTTGTCCATGCCTTTGAGAGCTTCAGTCAGGTAGTTTTGGAGGGCCGTGAGGGCAGCGCAGATAGCGGGGGCCCCAAAGCCGTGGGTGATGAGGCTGAAGTGAGTCAAGCAGCTCTGAATGCCCGGTTCCAAAATAGGGGTGGGCCGGCTGTTCCCAATGGGCGTTCTGTCCTGGGCCAAGAGATCTGTAAATTCTTTACAAAGTTGCCTGCAGGGAAGAGAGAAAGGCAAAGAGAGGGAGAGAAGAGGTGTTGTTAGGCTCATCCAACAATTCTGTGACAACCAAGGGGCAGGTTCAGGCTAAAATTGATCCCAAAACATGAAATGGGACCCTTGTGCCACCATCCTTTCCCCAAGTGGTTCTTGGGGACCAGCCAGGGCGAGCCAGCAGCTCCCTGCTCAGAACGATGCTCTTCAGGGGATTACACCAGTTCTGGAGATTAAAATCTCTCCAGCAGCCACAGGGGTGGTTCTGAAGCACTGTGGGAACCCAGCCCTGCCTGGTGGCTTCAGAAACCACCAGGCTGAAAGGGAAACGTGCCCTGGATCTGCCAAGAGCCATCCTCCTGGAGGCCTGACCCTGGCTCAAGGCAGCTCCCAGAAATACTCTTCCTGAAGGAAAGCACAGCCATGCACTGAGAGCTATTGGAGGGCACAGGGACCTGGTGAAGGGAAGGGCTAAAACAGAGCCTCTGAGACTGCTCAGGCTGGGCCACCTTACTGAGAAAAATCAGGATTTTGGGACTCCATGCTGGCTTATTCATGGCATGGGAAGCCAAGCAAGAACTTCCCATTTTATTTGGGGGCATGACACCCCAATTACCACATCAGAGTTGACATCTGGCTCTTGGCTGTTTGTCTGCACCTTTGAAAAACCTGATTTGATTTTTCTAATGAATTCACACACAAACATTTTATTTTGAATTACTCTGGTCCAAAAGACCTTCAAGTCAACAGGTGCCTGGGCAATGCAGAAACCCTGGAGGCTGGAGGGGTTCCCACAGGAATAGCTTCTTTAAGGATACCCAAAGGAATCAGGTTTTTTTAAGACAGGTGTCTACCCAGGGACTGGAGATAAAATAGACCAGAATTAAAAGAAAAAAAAAAAAAAAAGCCCTTAAAAAAGACATTCAGCTCTCATCCTCTGAAATTCTCTGAAATTCCCAGTGGGTTAAAGGTTTCAGAGGGTGAGGAAAGATAAAGGTCTACTTCTATGTGTATTATCCATTAAGAAAGTGCAAGAGAGGAAACTTTGAATTTGGAGAACAAACAGTAATGAGTCCAACATTTTACATCTTCAAAGAGCAAAGCAGGGTCTGCGAGCAATTAAAGTTCTGGGACATTAATATCTTCTGACCCTGCGGAAAAGGGCAATCAAATTCCAATCACGTCTAAGAAACATCTGGACAAATTTGAGCAAATGATTTTTCAACCCTCCATATATTTCTTTAAATTACACTGTCATCGGAGGCAAGCCACGTCCCAGAGCATGAAATAAACGAGAGCTGTTTGGGCTGGAATTTTCTTTTATTTCGTTTTTTGGTTTGTTTTTTTTTTTTTTTCCCCCTTTTCATTCCTGACAGACAAAGATGTGTGAACACTCAGCACCCACTGCCAAGTACCCGAGCAAACCATGAAGCACCCAGTGAGTAGCCTGGGAGGAACAGCCTGGTGTAAATCATCACATACAGAACACCCACCGAGGAAGTCCCAAGGGGTGGGGGAGGCCAAATCGAGAATCATTAGCAGTGCATGGTGGTGGGCTTTTATTTCTTGTTTTTTCCTTTTTTTTAATTTTTAATATATATTTTTAATTAAATCACATGGGAAAGGCATTGCAATTTGGTAGCAGACAGACAGGTGTGTGCGAGCAGCAGGGACAGAGAAACATACTGTGAAAGCAAATTATAAATTTTTGGTCCACTTTACATAAAAATTATTTAACTGGGGACGGCTTGAAAGTGATGTACAACAGCTAGGGGAGCACCACCTGTAATCTCTATAGGGGCAGGGTCTGTTGGCAGGATCCCCACTGCACAGGGATGCAGAGGTCCTTTGGGCGATTTGAGCATCCTTCCTCCCCGCGGGGCTGTTGGAATTTAGAGCCTGGAAATTCCGTCTGCTTTCCAAACGGGCTCAGAGGAAGGGTTTGAGGGCAGGGCGGATTTTCCCCGAGAAGGGCAGAAGGACATGAGTTAACTTGGCACTCACTTTGTGGCAAGCAGCATGTTTTTCCTGGAGTGGAGGTCGCTGGGATCCGTGTGCTGTCTGTTCAGGTACTCAGAAACAGCTTTGGCTGGGAACTCCGTTTCACAGATGTACCCAAAATCCCGAGCTAAATGAACGGCCTCACCTGGAGGGAACGAGACGGGAATTTACACCTCCGGGCACCGCCGGCCCGGGGCTGGGCTGGCTCCGACCCGCCGGGACACCGGGCGGAGCCCACGGCTCCCCGGGGGGACACCAGCCCCTCTGAGCCGTGCTTGGAAACCTCTCATCATCCCTTCCACCTCAGGGACAGGCTCCAGCTGTGTGTTTTCCCCCCACCAGCCCTACTGTGGGGACAGAAGTCGATGGGACAGATTTTTGAGCTGATGAGATTTGTCTTTGCACTGGTGTGGGTCACCAGTGCAGACCCACTTGCGCAGAGCGGGGGGAAGAGCTCACACACACACCCACCACACACACACACAAAACTTTAAAATTAACTGGACCAAGGAAAAATGCAAGAGGAAACTGGTCAAATCCTTGAAAACTAAGGACCCAAACTTCTCTAAAGAGCAGAGAAACATTCTTGTTTCAATACTCAGATCATTGTCCAAAATTTTACAGATGTGGATATATTATTAATATTAGTATTAATTCTTCGTGAGACGTTATAGAAGCAATTTATTCACACACAGGGCACTTGCATCATTATCACAGTTATCGACACATCTGTAAAATTATGGAGATAACTGCATTTAGCCCGATGGCAATTTAAAAATCTGCATTTTTAACTGACCATCCTGCAATAAGAGCTCTTGTCTGCCTGGTAGAAAGATACAGCTAATGGCAACACTTTCTGTGAACAAAATAATTATTATTCTAACTCTAATTCTAATTCACTTTTCCTGCCTGCCTGGTTTCAGGTTTCTTGCCTACAGAGGTTTGTGTCATCCAACTCCTACTGATGTACTTCATGCCACTAGAAGAAGACAGTAGCTGCAGAATGGAGGAAAAGAGGAGGGGGGGCAAAAACCCCTCAGACTCTAGAGGGATTCCACCAGATTATAGCTCAGCCCCTCTAGAATAAAACGTTAAACCCTTTAAAGCATCGCCCGAGGGACGAGGGGGAAGATTTCCAGCAAGCAGGTATGTCTAATAACTCCAGGACGGCGTTATTTTTAACCATCAGGAGCTGCTTTCCAACGTCATCTCCTGCTCTCCAATGGCTCTCGCTAATCATCAAACAGGTTAATGAAGGCGAGGGCACCCGGCAGAGCCTGGAGGGGGGGTTCCCGAGCCGGACACGGTCCCCCCAGGCAGCCTTCGGGCACCGCGGGCCGGGACCGACCGGAGCGTTCCTGTTCCTGGCATGCAGGAGCAGCTATGCTAAACCTGGCTGCTGGCAGGGAGGGAAAAAAAAAAAAAAAAAAAAGAGATAAACCTCCACTAGGTGCAGCTTCTTCTAAAAGGAGGGAACTCTCTGGAGGCAAACTGTTGATTTGTAAGGGAATCAGGGGAGAGGAGGGGAACGTACACCTTACTGCACGCTTGGCACAGATTTTAGCATCACTACACAAACCCCACCGGCTTTTGAAGCTCACACCAGCGTCGGGGAGGGGCTGGAGCTGCTGCGAGCAGAGCGCGAGGTGTTCCACACACACCTCGGGGGTGAAGCTGCACTAACAGGGCGCTCAGGGGCACCGGTGCCCCCCGAAATTCTTCACACCTTTTACAGCTACATCCGTAACCCGCACTGAGCCTTGCACTCTCAGCATCACCCACCTGCGGGTGGACGAAGAGCTCCCACCCCTCAGCCCCCGTCTTTTTGGGAGCCTTCCTCCAGCTCTGCAAGCGGCAAGGTCTTGTCGCTCACATAACTCAATCAAAAGAGTGAGAAAGTTAATATCTAGCGCAAATATTTGTGCTCGTTTTATAGGCAGAAGAGATAAGTGGATTATTTACACGCCTCTCGGTGTGTGTGTGTAATGCAGATATATATAATTCATAATTGCATCCATACTATTCCGGTTAGGGTTTTTTTGGAGAAAGTCCAACTTCTCTTAGCATAAACACGCACATAACCTTAAACTTATTAGTGGTTCTAACTTTTCCTTGTCGATACAGTAACAACAAATCAAAGAAACACGCTGGGCACCAAAATGTCTTTAGCTGAGTTGAAATTACTTGAAACTTCAGTCTGCCCTTCCCTCCCTCCTTCCTCAGGAGTAGCTGGTCTCTTTGTACAGCTCCATCCACCTTAAGGGAAACCGAGCTCTGCTACCCTTAAATTGCTCTGCTTTCTTACCAAAAATAAGGGGGGGGGAAAGTAACTTTGTATTACTTTTTCCTCACTGAGCATCTTGTAGTGGCCATAAATCAGCTCAGAAAGAGCGAATTATCCGGAGGATGGAACAGACCTGGAGTCGGAGATCACAGACTGGAAATTAATAGGATGAGGAGTGGGATTGCCCGGCAGAGTTACACATGCACACAAATGTACACGCACATATCCACACGTACACACACAGACACACTCTCTCACTCTGGCCACCAAGAGGAATCAGCGATCCTCCAGCCAGTGACTTCATTTTTGGGAATGGGATCCTTAACCGTGACGGCGTTCCTCCTAACCCACCCTGATTTTAACCTCTACAAGGTTTTCCCCCCTGATCGAGAAAGTTGGTGGTTTTTTGGGTTTTGTTTTTTGTTTTTTTTTTTTTTTGTTTTTTTTTTTAGGAGGAGTTGTTTCATTTTTGGGGAGTTTTTTGTTGTTGTTGTTGGGTGAGGAGTTGTTTCATTTTTGGGGGGTTTTTTGTTGTTGTTGTTGGGTTTTTTTTGTGAATGTCAGACAGGAGCTCATGGCAGAGGTGTGAAGGGAGCTGCGACCCTCGACTTACCTTCCACCAGGGAGGTGAGTAAAGTGACATTTGCGGCCTTACGCCTGCCGGCTGGTAAATTCAAACCGATTTTTTCTAGCCTTTCTCGCAAAGATCTCCCCCCGTTTTTCGATTTGGCTCTAGAATTGCAAAGAAATTAACATCGTGATTAACCCCGCAGTGTTCCTGGAAGAAACGTTTAGTCTGTGCAGTCAGCGAAGCCTGGGAGGGTTTTCACTCGACGTTAAGGACTCTGGGGGTGTTGATTTCTGCTCGGGTTTGCTGGGATTTTCTTAATTTCACCCAAGGGGTGGAAGTGGGGATGAACCCACTTTCCCCCCGATTTTATCCAGGGAAATCAAACAACGCTAAACAGCAATAATTAATAGAAAGGTTCTGATCTAGAGAGCAAGTGGGTATGATACCAGCTTGTATTAAGATGTAGTAAAGGGATGGGCAGGAAGGTGGAGGAGGATTAAATTCCCTGTTATTCCAGGAAAGAGCCAGAATAAAACGAGGGGATTAAAAAAAAATCTGAAAAGTTCGAAGGGAGTGTGTGTGAGCCTGTGGATAAATTGAAAAAGAGGGAAATATTTATTAAGCTGTTTCCAGCCTGTGAGTGTTTTCTCGTGCGAGGAGGCGATGCTGAGAGGAAGAGCTCACCTGAGGCTGGGTGCGTTATAAAGAGGGAATGGATTGCCTGGGGGAAGATTGGAATGTCTGTCGGAGGTTACTGATAAGGGCAATAAAAGGGTGAATGAGAAATTCAGAGCTATTGTTCGAACGCCCATACATATGTAAACCCCCAGGGATGATATCTTGCCACCTGCGAAGTTAGGGAGAGTTTTGGCACCTAAGAACAAAGTCTATCCCAATTCTCTCCTAATTCTTACTTAAAATCTGTTTAAGAATTAGAAATCCCACTTAGAGCAAGGAAATCAGGAACTGCAGAGAAGCCAGACTGGCTTCCCACTATTTTATATCGAAGTAAATAGGGCTGGATGGCAGAATTGCAAGAGAGCAGCTTTCTACGTCTCATCTGCTCTGAACCAAAATCTTGTTTAAAATTTAGATTCAAGATAGGAACTGAAGCCAGCAGCAGCCAATAATTATGGCTTGGGCCACGTCCAGAAATCTGCTGAAGTCCAATAATAATGCTTCTTTACCTTGGTAATTATATTTTCTACAGAGCATCTCTCAGATGTTCTCCCTGCTCCATTTGTAGCTGTACAGAAGGAGCAGGCAGGTTAGCATCTGTAAGTAAAAATCTCTGCTGCTCTCCCTGGCAGCTGAACAATGATTACAGACATTCACATGGAACAGCAGCTATTTTAGGAGACCCTGATTCTCACGTGGATAGTTGGGTCTCACCAGATGTAGCAGAACTTTCCCCCTCATCTCCAGACACGGGGCCAGAGCCCTTGACGTCACCACAGAATTTTTTTGCGGGGGTAACCCCAAACTGAGATATGTTGTCTCTAAGGTGCTTTAAAATAAAGCACCTTAGAGCAAACATATCTCAGCTGCTGCTTTAGGAGTTTTCAAGATATTTCCTCCTCTACGATTAGCAGCTTTTAACCATGATCTGAAATTTATTCATTGCCAGTTTGCATGCATCTTTCCCTGTCTAAAAGTTATGGCTTTTATTCCAGTCTGGTGTCTACCTCACACACAGAAAATGAAATCCTGTACCCTCTCAGCCTGAGTGTGTGAACTGGTAGCTCATATTGTAACCTCGTGGCTTCTCCCCTGTTGTGACTGGAGACAGAGCCTGAGCTCACCTTTCTCACAGACAAGCCGAGCTGACAATTCACAGTCCCTCAGGCCCTGCCAAGAAGAAAAAGCCCTTTCTCCCTACTAGCCTTTCCAGATAATGGCCTCAGAGCTTAAACTCTTGCTGCTTCTACTTAAAAGCCCAGTCTCACACTGGTTATGATGGAGTGGAAACCGCACCTCAGGGTTATTCCTTGCTCCCCATATTCTCCAGTACCAGCACTGCCAACTATTTTGAGGTCTTCACCAAAACCCACCAGGACATTAATGGGTGATTTGCACAAATATTAAGCAGCAAAGGCCTCGAGACCTGCAGCTGTGAGCTGCAGCAACTTTCTCTGTAAGAAGCACAAAGTTTCTGACTTTCAGAGCTACCTGTTGGTGGCTTTTCTTTAGTCAGGTACTTGCCTACCTTACAGTTGGCTTATCAGATCCCTGCCAATTTCTTGTGTGACACCACATGTCATAATTGACATAATTGCCTGGTCGTTACTGCCACATAGGGCAAGGGTTTATCTAGGAAATCCCTAGAAATACATCAGGTCCTGAAATACTTGCAGTCCAGCCTGAAACACGCCCATCAGGGCATTTTTTTTGGTCCACTTTCTGAGAGAGAAGTGTGAGGAGGAGAAAAGATAGAAAGTGTGTGCTTGGACAAGGAGAAAATCTTTCTGTCTCAGTTCCTTCATTCGTGGCTAAACAAGGCCAAAAATTTCTATACTCTCCATATATTCATCCCAACGTTTGAACATAGCATATTTTTGCCTTATCACCAACATTATACACACAGGCTTTGACAGTAGGATCAATGCACATTTGGAATCATCTGTACTGTTGACCAAGGGTTTCTGGTGCATGCATGGAGGCCCAGACACATTCACACACTTGCCCCAGCCTCTTACCTTCTAAGTACTCCTCCTAGGAGGGATGCGTTCAGACACTCTGGAGGGGAAAGGCGTCTCTGAACTTCTCCCACAGTTACTTTATACTTTGAAGTTGAGCTAAGCAAAGACAAGCGGCCAGGTACAGAGCAAAACACCTCTCCGGTATTGACTGAAATTCCACCCAGGAAGCCATCTTTATTCATCATCAAAGAAGTAACAGATTTTGGAGGAACCGGAACTGGAGAAAGAAAAGGGGAGGAGGGGAGAGAGAAACCATCAAGCCACGAAGGAGCACAGGATAACCACAGTCTCTCTGACATGCACAGAACAGCAAAATGAAAGGGAGTTTTGAATCTCTGGCTACCTCCAGCAACCTAAAGGGTGCTGCTCCCCCAACCTCTAGGAAAGTGCTCCATGAATGATGGATGGAGAGAAGGGTGGTACAGTACAGCCTCTATGCAGGGTTTGATCATTGGGAAATAAAATACATATTGGCAAGCACCTGGCAACTTTCGGGTTTGAGCCTGTGTCTCACCCAGAGCCCCCCGATGCCTTTTGTACAACGGACAGCGCCTTTCTGGAGGGGAAAAAAAGAGGAAAATTTACTTTTTTTGGCTAATGTTTCCATTACTGCTAAGCTGAGCCAGGAATAAATTCACTACACAAAGGGAGTTGCTGTCTTAAATAAGTATCAAAGCTGGAGGATACAGCAATGAGAAGACAGCTCTGTTATTGCTTTGTGTTTTTATTAAGTCTGGTTTATGAAATAAAATGAGTCTTTTCCTTCAGAAAAATGAACACCAGGAAAAAAATTATCTGGTCTAACCATGGTGCTCTCCACTCTGATCATATTGTGCTGTCCGTGAATTAGAAGGAACTCTCCTGCCCCTAAATAAAACTGATTTAGTTACTGCAACACATATTTAAAGGTAGTTATAGGGAAAAGTAAAAGGAGAATGACAAAGTGAAACTAAGCAAAATAAAACCATGTTGTTCTCTCCAAGATAAAAATAAGTATTTCTTTTCTCTGAGAAACCAGTGAGGCTATTTTAAGAGCAACCAAGGGATTATAAGGAACAAATTCCTATAATAGCAACCAGACACACTCAGAAATAAACAAAAAAAAAATTGGTTGAACTAAAACTGAGAGCAATTCCCCCATGACATGAATTTTGTTTACAAATGAACTTAAATAACTCCCTCATAATTGTGTGTAACTGTTATGATTTACAGCAGGTGCTCTAATCAATCACCCAATCACTTTAATTTATAGGGAGCCTCGCTGCATTTTCCCAGTTGTTTCATTTCTGCAAGTAATTGATAACAAACCATACTTAAGGTATGTTTTATGCAGGAGTTAATAAGAGCTGACAGCTGCTACTGCAGCTTCCTCTCGGATCCGCGGCAACACGCGTTTCCTTATAGAAAATATACGCTGAAATTGGGACTTTCGCTGGTGGGAGAGCCCTGGCAGTCCAGCGGGCATGTTTCAGAGGAGAAGACTAATTGATTACACACCCTCTTCAAGCAGATACTGCTCCACAATCTCCCGTTTCCACTCAATCAATTGCAAAACCAATTCGGCAAATAATAAGGTTCTATTATGCACATATGCCAGCTATTTAGGTAGTTATAATACATGTCAGTTAAGTCATAAAAGCCCTGTTTATTTGCAACATATCTGGAGAATCAAACCATTAGGGTTGAGCGGATATTTAAGTCGTCTGGAGCTGCTAAACAATAAGATCGGGTATCCTAATATATTACCAAGTGCTAACTACTGGGCAATTGCCAATTTTATAACCTCAGTGCATGGAATAGACACAACCGTGTTTCACTGTTTTTATTGCAGATCATTTCCTACTGCCAGACCAGACCCCCACAATAAAAGCCCTATAACAGCTAAAAACCAAAAGGCATGTCGATTTTAGATATACATATTGCTTCGTATGCCTTGTGTATAGTCTCCAGTATAAACAAATTATTTTGAGTGGCTTGACTTCAGGGAATCGGAAAGTGAAATGGATTCCTATTTCTCTATTATTTTTAGTTAGGCACTTTATGCAGCTCATAAAGGCCGTTTCAAATAGTTTGAGAATGGCTCAGAAATAGTTATAAAAGAGTTAGAGGCCCGCTCCTGCTTTCATTGCTATTATTAGGAAATTTTTTTGCCATTGATTCTATAGGAAAACACTCGTCTGTATATCAGAGGCAGTGCCAGCAGACCAAAAAATTGTATTTGTATTTTCCCCCTCATTATACATAAATATATCTCTTATTTCATGCACAATGATCTGTCCGAGTGAAGCATCAGGTAGAAAAAAATAGAAATTTAAAAAAAAAAAAAAAGTTGAATTAAAGCAGTGCCCAGACAGCTTTTCATGACTGGCATTTTTTTTCTTGAGACAAACACACGGGCTCTGTGGTTCGAGTACACCTTTACCGTGGCTATATTTAGTGACCAGTTTATCAGGTCACTGTCCAGTGAACTGAGAAATTAAACAAGAGGCAGCAATTCCACGAACATCTGATCTTAGTCCAAACTCACTAAAGAGAGAAGGACCCGTGCAATGCTTAAATGTACCTCACCCCGCTCGCTTTGGCCTTTTGGAGCACTCATTACATTAGTTAACCTTTGAATTATGGATTTTCACGTGCTCGGTGGTTTTTTTTTCCCCCTCGCAAATTGCTTTTGGGAAGCAGGCTGGCTCCCTTCCCTGCTATGCTGAGAGCTCCTCGGCGTCTTTTCCTGGCAGTGTTTCCCTGAAAAGGATGGTATGAACAAACCCATCAGCTGGAGCCTGATAGCTCTGAACCCATTTGAGAGGCTTGCCAGGCGGTGTAAGCATATCTATTGCAATTTCATAGCTTCAGAGAGATCTATTCTATCTAGGCTCTGTATCTTCTGTAAATTACCTAATGCTGCCTCAAAAAAGTGTTTGCCATGGAATGAATTATCTCTATCTATATCATATCTATATGTTTATCATGGCTGGAGCTTTTCAGACACAGCCCAGACATCAGCAGAGATAACAGAACGTGGAGCTTTTGTGGGTGAGGAGATCTCCACGTCCGTGAGTGCAGCTGCATGTGTCAAATCCCTGCGCGTATGTAAATAAACCCGAATGCAGAGTGTATTTTTAGCCAATGTCAACTTCCCCAGTTGGTCAGGGACTGCCACAACTGCTGAAATGACACAGGATAACACACACGTATCCACGCAGCGTCCCCACCGCTCCTGCTTTCACTTTATCCCATTCAGTTCTTGTCATCCCCAGCAGAAACTGTTCGATTTTCTTTCACTCCCAAACTCTGCTTGCTGCGTGTGTGTGAGCACTCACAAATACATAATTGCCCATTTCAAAATCTCTGCTTTCTCCCTTCTTTTATTTTTCCTTATTTACCTCCTTTGTCTCTTTTCCCCCCTTCTTTTCCATCCCTTCATCTCTTTTTCTTGCCTCTTTTTTTTTTCTTTCTCTCCTCCTGTGGTTACATCCAGCCTCTTTGTCATTTCTCCCCCTTCCATTTCTCTTCAGCTTATCAATAAACCGGGAGAGCAACAGTAGCCGCTTGATTTGTTAGTAATTATAAGCATACTGTTCCTGCAAACGGGATCTCTAGATGAGTGAGATCGCTTTAGAACGACAGCAGGAAATGGTGGGGAAATGGAGCATGGCGAAACTCAGCGTGAAGCTTTCAGTTCTTTACATGTTTACAATTTTCTGTGCATACATTAAGTCTTAGGCTTTTTCTTTCCTTTTTTTTTTTTTTTTTTGGTGGTGGATTTCTTTTGGGCTGCTCGCCCCAAACGTGTGAAAATGCGCACAAATGTGAACGCGCAAGTGGAGATAGGGTGAAAAAAAGCTGTTTTGGCGACAGTAAAACTAAAGAAATAATAGATTTATGTCCTGCAAGCAGCTGTTCAATAAGGGCTTAAACTATGGTTATCATTGCAGTAACCCAGCTGAATAATATCGTAGTCGAACAGTCAGTTAAATTATCAACCAGAAGTATTTATCGTATTTCTTACTAAAAAAAACGTCCTGGGTAACTTAATTACTAATAAACTATCAAACTACTTCCAAAATTTTTACTCTGTCTGGGCTTTAAATGAGTAAGAAGTTCTTTGTCCATGCTAAGGACAGGACTTTGCTGTAAGTGGTGATTCGGGCTGACTCAGTGGCCAAGCCTAAAACGTCCGGGAGCAGCGTCTTAGACGCTGAAACTGAAGAGACCCGGGTCTTATCTTAATTTTAAGAAACAAACACAAAAAGTGCGCGTTCATTTCCTTCTGTCCCCTTCGTCCCCTCCTCTCCTCCAGCCTCTCTCACCCACCGCAGTCCCCGTTCCCCTAAAGCTGGGACTGAATTTCAAGGTGGAATGCATTCCCTCGAAACTGTTTTGCATTTAATTAAAGGGGATCCTCAGGTTCAGTGGGTAACCCGGGAACAAGCACGAAACCGAGTGGCATTGAAGCAGCATCTCTTGAGCCCCAGATCCATCACCTGAAAAGCTGAGGCCAGAGTGGTTCTCGGTTAATCATTGATCAGCTGTTCCGAGGCGTGGGGAGGAAACTCGTGCTGGATTATTAACAGCTTAAAACAAAAGGTTAAGACACCTTCTTTCATGTGTTTTCTTAAAATAGGAGGAACAGCGGAGCGTGTTTGCAAGACCATGAGTTAAGGTCTTCACGTTAAAATGGCCTTTCATGCTAAATCAGATGTGAGTGTGCAGACGATCGTCAGAAACAGCTGAAAGTAAATAAATACATCAGAATAATTTTAAGGTCACTGACTGTGCCCCAGAGTCACAAAAAATTAACTTGGGACTCAGGCCATGTAAGGTTTTGCAGGAAGACAACTTATTTCACCACAGAGAGTGACAAGGAAATTTCAGATGAACATTTGACAAGGGGACCCGATCTTTTATTCCTGACACATGGCAAACCTTCTCTTCATTTCAGTAAAAATAGAGGCAAAGGCCTAAAAACATGCAGCCGGTAAGCTCTGAAAGCTGAGTTGAATCTAATATTAATGTTCTTGGTGATTATTATCATCTTGATGATTTATCTGGCTCCCTCCCTCCCACTTCCACCACCCAAATCTTAATGGAAGTGGGAGTTAAAGATGATTTTTTAATGTCTCGTTGGATTTTTAGACTGTTAATGTACCGCATCCTTCTCATTATTAGTTTATTGATTGTTCATTGACCAGCCCCCTTCAAATCGTATTAACCACCCTCTGCCAGTTTAGATTAGGGGAGTTTAAAAAGCACCTTTCATTATTTCAGCGCCGCCACCACCACGGTGGAGTTCAGGCTTGGTAGCTTAATGCTCGCTCTAATGGGGCAGCTAAGAGACAAGGGGCCACGGTCCCTGCCTATTGCATTAATAGCTCAAAGGGGGCTAATACAGAAAATTAGCCTTAAACGAGCTCTGGAGATCTCCAAATGAAAGAGCCATTTATCACGCTGGCTACCTTCACTCCACTCGTTTGCTCTCTCTACTGGGAACAACTCATTTCCTCTTAACTAAATTACTTCAGAAATGTCAAGTAAGCTGGGATAGCAAACATAACAAGAGCCTGGGTATATGTAAGCTGTTGTGTGGGATCGATACGTGAGATAAATCAATAGCCGTGTATGAATCCCTATATAATTTCCTTAATATTTTGGCAAACCTTTTGCATAGTGAGATAAATCAATAGCCGTGTATGAATCCCTATATAATTTCCTTAATATTTTGGCAAACCTTTTGCATAGAGAGATAATTCCCTCTGCAGGCCTCAGAGGCCATAAAGGAACAGACACAGTCTGGGTGATATAATTAAGTTTAGGCTTCAAGTCCCCATCCTACTTTTCCCACCACTTTACAATGAAAGAATTTTAAGCACTGAACTAGGATTGGGTGGAGCAGACCCCCTGCAACCCTCGTCTACAGAATATGAGTCACAGGAGTGTTCCACTGCACAAAAATCTGTCAGTACCTGTGTGTCTGTGTATCTATCTGTGCCATCTGCCTGCAAGAACGACTCACAGAGTTTAAATAACTTGTTCTTGTTTCAAAGTACACCCTCACAGCTACAAACTGCAGGGAACAAAGAGAAATTGATACTGAATGCTGTGTTGCTCCTTCCCTCGTCCTGATTAAATATTGACTGCCACAAATGTGACCTGCTATTTATTACCCATTTCTCTTTCTCTGCACCCAGAAAAGTCGTTGTTAAAAAAAAAAAAAAAAAAAAAAAAAAAGGAATGAAAAAATCTCACTGTTAGAAAAAAAAATTAAAAAAGGAATGGAAAAATTTACAATATTCCTTTATGCAGGAAAGTTTCTTGCAGCTCAGCCTTACTTCTAAGGAAGAAAATGCTACAGTGACTTTTAAAGAGTTGCAAATGCATTTCAGGCTCTTTCTTAGTAACCTTATTTCCAAAGAGCATGTGTCTCCTGTTCATCATGTGTTAACTCAGAGTATCTCTTCTGGCTGCAAATAGGCACAAGTAATCCCACCTAGATGGGACTGGGTCTCTCCAGGCAGCAGCTGCTCCGTCTGGGGCTGCTGCAATGCCCACACACACGAAGCACACCTAAATATATGCCTAATGCACATAAAAACCTCTACCTAATACGTAATAATTGCAGGCATTCACATTCTAGTGCCACTCGCTGTCTAATTGCACCACCCAGCACGCACATGGAATGTCTCCGTCAGCTGAAGGAGGGAGAGACACGGGCGTGCTGGGTGTTAAAGGAAAAATAAAATAAAATAAAATAAAAATACAGATATTAAAAAAAATATTATTTTGGATTGTGTATTCTGCGAAGGATCATAATGGAACAACCCTAAAAAGGAGTCTCTCGACCACAAATCAAGTGCCAATTAATCAAATGCACCCAAGAGGGAGTGTATGAGGTGTCAAGTGGGGGTGGGGAAGAGGGAGGAGAGTGAGGAAAAAAAAAAAATTAAAATACAACCAGAAACCATCAGGTTACAGACCTTGAATATAAACCCCACCAAACATTCAAACTGAACCAAAACAGCAGAAACATACAACCTTTTTTTTCTTTCTTTTTAAAGTTAAGTAACTTTCTATTTCTTAAAAAAAAAAAAATCCAAAACCCTTCGACCTTTCAACCAATAGTCATAAATGGTGCTGTCAAATGGTCTTCAAGTTTTCATTAGTTCTCGCTCAAATAACCAGACCTTGATCTTGTGTGTGAGAGAGAGACCATGGATATTTAAATAAAAAATAAAAAAAAAAAAAGCAACCCAAACAACCAACAACAAAACAAACAATGAATACACGGAGAGACGTCATGCTGCCTTCAACATATTTTGGATAAACACCCTCCCTGTTATTTTGCTTTACATCCTAGAAAATCGTCGCTGTTAAACTATTTGTGCGCATTTGACAAATAACAAGGTCTTGGAGATAAGTGCCGTTGATAGTAAGCATAAGGGACAGCGTTTTTAAACCTCATCTCTGGTACTTAAAATTGAATCTAGGAATAGAAACTCCTTAGATAATTAAAGATAGCTTTCCCTCCATTTGCAGTGCGTGATCTGTTTAATGTCTATCAGCATAACACAACACTAATCGCCAAGCATCTTCGAGTGACTGTCAGAGAAATGTAAAAAAATTAAGCAGCTGCAATACGCCCAAAATGAGTTATTGTAATTACATTTAATTAGTTTAATTAGTTAATTATTTTGCTTACAGCTGTACAAGAGACTGCAAACATTTGTTAATATCACATTCGCTTTAACAGTATGGGGTGATTCTGCAGTTGCACTAAATCATGGGCGCATATGTAGAAAGATGTAAAAAATGGGCACGGGGAAGGGGGGAATCTTGGGGGAAGGGGGGAATCTTGGAGGGAGCGGGAAGGGGGCTGAGTCTGCCTTTCCATGGGCATCTCTCTCTCTCCTCTCCGCGTTTGATTCGCCTGGGAATTGCATTTAAACCCCGAAGGGAATCAACCCTTTCCCCCATTAAAAGCCAAGGGGTCCCCACCGAAGAGCATCGGGGGGAGAAGGGGAGGGAAGGGGGCGGTGGAAACTGCACTGGAGCACGGGGTGCCCCATTAGAGAGCGTTCGTGTAATTAAACCCTTTGAAGGGCGGGCGAGGCGGGGATATAAACTTTTCCTTTCTCATGTCTTATCCCTTCACTCTCTCTGCTGACCCAATCAACTATTCATCGTGCTGCCGTGGGTGCCTGCTTCCCGGAGAAATTCATTGCCCCGAAGTCAAAATATATCATGAAGATATCGCTACACAGTAAAAGTTTGTCTAGCTTGTTGGAATAATCCATACCTTTTTTAATGACAGACTGGTCCAATAAGTTCATACCGCTGTTATTGGCATCTTCAACTGACTGTGGATATAAAAACATCACTATTCAAATTGACTGGATATTAAAGAATCGCGTACATAAATCATGTCATTCCAAACTGGAGTCCCTGTTATTTCCATTTATATTAATTCACTAGGGGAGGAGGGACTTTTTTATTGTTGTTATTATTATCATTATTATTGTTGTTTTTGTTATTATTATTTCCCCCAATCGACAAGGAAATTAAATTCTTACAAATTATATAGTCTTCTAATAAAACAAAAAGAGGTGTGAAGCATATGGGGTGCAATACTGGTTTTGTTATCTTATAAAACATAGATATCACATAGACTTCTTTGCATTCCATAAAGCTTTATATTTCTTCCTTTGAAAATGTGGCAATTTGGCAACATCTGCAAGATCTATTGCATGACATAAATGAACACGATTAAGGACAACTTAAATGCTCCCTCCCCTTTCCTCCCCCGCCTCCTTTTTCTTTCTTTTTTTTTTGTTTTGTTTGTTTGTTTGTTTAACCCTGCTACATCTTACTAATTCAAGGGCCATTTACTTTTTATATATCATAGTTTACATTATGGACTTTTAATTAAAGCCTGAGCCTTTCGGAGCGCAGTGCAACGCCCACATCATACAGGGGACGAGCAGAAAGAGATTTACAGCTCCCGAGGTTGCTTCCATGTCCTGAATTAGTGGAGACGGGGAGGGAGGAGCAGGAATACACATCATCAAAAGTATGAACCATCAAATTGATTGCCTAGGAAAAAAAAGTCTCCGAATTTCAAAGCCTTGTTTCCCCCTTTTTCCCCCCTTTCTTTCCAGCCTGCCGAGGAGCACACCTGTTATTATGGCATTAACTTCTTTAGCAGGGAAGAGAACAAAGACGGGCACAGAGGACACAGCAAATGTTGGGTTTCATTTCTCAAAACGAAAGTGGGACATACAATCCCCACCCCCCCAAACAAACCAAAATTACTGCTGAATCTGCATTCAGCACAGTAAAGCCATGTCCGAAAAAGAAGAGGTGTCGTAAGAACAATTTATAGCAGAATTCTGACAGGTTCCGTTTTAGGGGAAATTCTGAGGTAAAGAGGGACCTTTGGGTTTCTTGGCTCTACTATTTTATTTTTCTCACTACTATTACTAAAGAGTTTGGGCTTTTCAGTGTTATTGTACATTTAGGGAGTTGTCACGTTTTTCCTTGATGAGCAAAGCACCTTTTCAGCAAAGCAATGATTTACTTCACCGTGATTTTAACTTTATCTTTGTTATGCCGAGAAGCTGAGCTTATTCGGATCCGGCCCTTATCTCCGTCTCTGTGCTCAGCGGAGACGTTCCAGATGGAATGCCTTTTAGGAGAAAATTGCATCTCCCCAAAATACGATGGAACAATATTTTCTATGAGAGCTTTCCCTTCATTTTCCTTGAATCCACCCTCAAACGAGCTCACACACGGAGCGGTGCCTTATGTGCTGTGTTTGGGCATGGCTGTGTCTCTCTCTCTCTCATAATCAATAGGCTACATACCTAAAGGGCACAAAATAAAATTACAAAGTCTTCCCTCCTTTCCCTGAGCAGCTCCCAAGGAGGGATGATGAGCAAATCCTGCAGCCTGCTGGAGTGGCACAGAAACGGAGGCAAACGTGAAAGAAACATCACCTTCCCTTTTTCTTTCTTTTTTCTTCCCATCTTTCTTCCTTATCTCACCTTATCTCTGGAGTCGATGGTTGCGCGCACCCTTTATGCGTGTGCGTGCACTCAGCTCGCTCCATCAGCAACGTGGGTTAGTTGTTGTAGTTAATGAGAAGACTCCTGTCTGATTTTCTATCTAATTACGCCCTCCTGCTGGGTTTTTGTACAGGATATTCGCTCAGCATGCTGGCAGTTAATAGTCACAGAGAGGATCGTAAAGATTTAATTAGGACTGCATGCGGAAACGTGGAAAAACAACTCAGACTTTTAATTACTAGACTTCTTTAGTTAAAAGTGATACCAGGGGTTACTTTATAAGAGACTTGGGTGTTTTGGTGCAACTTAACTTTCCATGTCTCTAGCTAGTACGTAGTAGCAGCGTGAGTGAGGAGGAGGAGGAGGAGGAGCAGCGGAGGTCAGAGTGCAGGGAGGGGAAAGGTGATGAGTTTCCAGATATACTTGGAAATTCCGGAGAGGAAGATTCCCCTCCCTTCCCTCCTCCAATAATCTGATAGAGTGAAGCTTCCTAAGTACTACCTATAACCACCTTATTCAACTTCTGTGGATACATCTGGGTGAAAACCTTAAAACTGGGCTCTGTATTTTCTTTCAAAGAGTCTGAATTTCCCCCTCAATTTTTCCTTGATCGAATCCTTTATTACTGTAATCCTACTTTAACCCAACCGGTGGGAAAAATATCGGGGAGTGCTACGGTGTTTTTTTTTTTTTCAGAGCCCCTATTAGATGATGCAAATTTTTGTTCAATAAGTAGGTCTTGGCTTCTCTGTTCCCTGTCTGAAGGTTGTAAATCGCGGATTGAAAATTCCTCTGGAGAGGGGCAGCAATAGCAATACAGTGTGTCCTGTTTACAATAACAGAGCGCTATCGTGTTACAATCACTTAATTCTAGCCCTGGACAATGGCTCACACATGGACTGGATTTGGTGTTTATAAAATAACCACTGTTTCTTTCTGTCACGCACTCTCCTTTCTCTGTCTCCTTCTCCTCAGCCCAGCCCATTCTCATGGCACATATTTGATCAGACATGCATAAGCTACTGCAAAGAGAAACATCTTTATCCATCTGTACATCTAGATATCCATTCAACTTTTTGGACAACTGAAATAAGGAAAAAAAACCCAGTATTTGAAACCCTTCCTCAAAATTATATCTAGTGGTGGTGGATAACGAGTATACATCTCCTGAATAAAAATTCCTGTTGCTAGAAAAGGCTCCTCTAATCTAGAATAAGCCCATGTTAAATATCAAGATGAAAAACTGCCCAACTTCATCTGCCACTAGTGGAGGGACAAGAATAGAAAATGCTGAGTGGCAGCAGCGAGTTTTGGGCTGCTTTCCCTCCTGCCTGCGTTAACTTGCAGTTGGACACCTCTTCCTTCACGTGTTTCTCCTTGGGATACCCTCCTCTCCCTCTTCCCCTCCTCCCCCAACCTGGGAACAAACTCTCAGAAAGGAAGGGCCTGTTTAATTTCCTGGTCTCTCAGTACCCCAAACGCAGAACCCCAGCCCTGCAGGTCCCAGCCTCGCCTGTCCCATCCTGTCCCCACCCCATCGCACCCACCCGGGCCCCGCCAGCCCCGGCCAGCAGGTCGCGGGTGGCCCCGATGCTCCCAGAGCACCGGGGGGAGCCACTTTCCGCCAGTGCAGTGCCCTTCCCGCAGAAGGGATGTTTTATTGGGAAACTGATTTATTTGAGCTCCTTCTTCCCTATTATTTCTTCTATCCCTTCTCCATGTCTTTCTCTCCTTCTTTCCCTATCTTTTCCCCTCCTTTCCGTCTCTTCTCTATCTTCTCTTCTTTTCCTCTCTCCTTTCTGCGTTTTATCTTTTTCTTCTCTTTTTATCTCTTTTTTTTTTCCTTCCCTCTCCTCTGTTTTACTCTCTCACAAAAGCACAACAATTGCCGGCTATTCTTTGGGGAAAGTGTAAATACCCGGGCACACGCAGTACCTAACGCCTATCGGCTGCAGAGAGAAAGGAGGAGAGCGATCTGCTTTCTGCATTCACAGAGGTAAAACTCGCCTTGACTTGCAAACCACTTTGTCTGAGCCAGGAATGCGAGACGAGACCTGCGCATCGCACCCCCGGCGCCCAGGGGCTGCCCCAGGTCTCAAAGCCACCTCGGAAACCCGCAGAAAGCAGCGACCTGACGGTCACTGAGCTCGGAGGCAGGAGCAAACCCAAACAGCAAAACCTTTCTTTTTCTAAAACATTTCCCCCCAGCAAAGCTCGGGGATTTTCCCGGACAGCCCTAAGACAAGCCTCGAGCCAAAGCAATGCATCCGCTCCGTTTCCCTGAGCTCATTCCTCTCATGTTCAGCAGCATCCTTTTTCACGGCTATTTTTAATCTTCCCAGCTCCTCTTTCCCCCTTTCTTTTTCCCTTTCTGTAACTTTGAAGTCGTTGTTTCATTCAGTGGTCCATACCTTTATCTATCCCAAGACTAAATGCATATACAGATATGATATATGATAAAGAAATTTTTTTGGGGAAAAAAAAAAGATAAAAACGCACGTAGGGGAACCCCAAAATCTCAATTAGGAAAGCCTGAGGCAGGACTTGGACCCTGGAGGCTCCAACCCCGCCCCGGGGGTCCCCACGGGCTGGCCATGCCCTGCTCCAGCAAGGTGCAGACCGCCCCAGCAGCGAAGCTGTTAAGGGTCCCTCTGTTTTTAGGGAATAGCACGTGATGATGAGTTTCGCGTGGGATGGAAGAAAGCTGGGAAATACTGTGCTTTGAGCTCGGCGAAACTCCTTTGTTATCCAAAAGAGGGAATGAAACTATTTAAAATCAGCGCTACCTTACCAAGCACACTTAACAAATGAGGGGGTTGGGGGACGGGCAAGGGACTTGTTCCTGATCACCAGTTATTGCTTTTGATTTGGGTTTTGTTTATAATTTCCCTCCCTCCCGGATGAAAAATGTAGTAATTCGACAGTTTCATCAAAATCTCTGAACGGCAGGAAATTGGCTGGGGGGAGGAGGGGGAGGGCGGAGG